GCCAGAAGAAAAGTTATGTATTAGGTACTAAGGCCTCTTCATTGCATAGCAATAGAAGTACCAGAAAAACAAGAACTCCATTTAACCAAACATTCAATGGCAATTATTTTGAAGAAATAATCTTAAACATTTCCACAATTATAAAATTACATGCTTTACTCAGGTAAAACACAAGAAAGAAAAGCAATATAGCAAGTCAGGTAATGACTGAAGTTTGTGGATATTCTTTAGTCTTTGAAAAAATTAAGCTGTTCAAAGCCAAAAGTGGTTTTCATTTTCCTGAGATAATCTGTACTTGTTCTGGGTATTCCTTACAAAAGGAATTAACAGATTTCTTTTGACCCTGATGTAGCAGAAAAACTAGAACTGCAGTTAAAGCAATGGTTTGGTTGTGATCATCAATACAGTTTTGTGATAAAATATTGAAAAAGCATTAAGAAAAAAAACTCTGTGGGCTCTGACCACAGAGAACATATATTTTGCCCTTTCATAATATACTGGAATCCTACTTACACTTCGCTACTCATGCATACTCTAGCAGTCACAATAGGTTAGCTGGAACTGCACCCAATAGAGAAAACAGAATACATTGTAGTTTCATGGTCATACAGCTACATGAATCTTAAAAACACATAGCAACATTTATATGGCACAGAAAATCATGTGCTACACAGTTGTCTTCCTGATATTAAAACCAAATAACTTTTTTTTTTTTTAAATTGTGATTGCCTGTACATGCAGTTGAAAACACCACATCTGTTTATAAAATTAAACCTAGGTGAACAGCTGACATGCTTTTCAAAGTTTCGAATTCTAGCCCTAATAATTAAGAACACAAACAACAAAATTACAGGAGCATTCACTAGAAACAGGAAAAAGCGCCAGGTCGCTTTTGTTTAGTGCTTTCAAAGAGCAACACGGCCCTCTAGTGGAAAAATTAGAGAGCAGAACTTTATTCCTACGAGAAGCATGGTAAGGGAGTATGTTCTCTGTAACTGATGTGGAGGTACTCAGAAAAACAATGCACACACACAAAACTGCACACCATCTTCAATCCCTCGCAGCAGAATAAGTCTTACCGACTTTAAGAGAAGAATCTGACAATTTACACCACTCATGTTTAAATGGATGTAGCAGGGTAAGTATTTAGAACCAGAAGGACTGAAACAAGATGAAACTATTCAGTAAGTCAGCCTTATTTTTACTACAGCAGCTTTACTGTGACTAAAAGTTAACTCGGGTCTGATGTGATACTGGGAGTAAAATTTTGATTGAGCTTAAAAAAGAGAAAACAATCCAAAGAATATATGGACTGCACTGTCAGAAGAAAAACTTCCAAAATAAAACATTTTACTAATAACTCTTAATCTGCTATGTTCTCGCTATATTGTAAGAGCAGAACAATTCATTAACCTTTTCCAAGTTGCTAATGAAAGCTAATGAAGTGTTTATAAATCTAATATCTTTAGTACATTTTTACCCCCCCACACTTTTTGCAGTAATTTTAAGGACCAAATTAAGAAATTAGGTAATCTAGAAAATTAAGTCCATATTTCTCGTTAGTAATGAAAAGAACCAGAGAGCAGACAGCCTCCCCACTTTGAAGCCACGTTAAGAGAAGTTAGTGGCAATGAAGTTACATTTGAGAATCCAGAACAAGTGATATCACTACAACTCTAGGGCTGCTAAGGTCATCCAAAGTATTCCTTCAGTAACTGGGTAAACAGCTCTGTTTTTCAAAAGAACAGATTTTTTCAGCTATGAGGAAAAAAATTAAGTGTTCTTGGCACACTACACTGGATTCCCCCTATTAGATTTTAAAATAAAAATCAATATATCATTCCATCTTTGTTGATCTGTTTTTAAACTTTGCTATCTAAAAGCAGTGTGTACGGCTGAAGAAAAAGCAACTTATGCTTATCCATCTTTCAAGGGATGCTCAGAATTTTCCAAACTTTATCTTCAGCATCCAGCAAAGCAGTAATTGGAAATGCATTTTTCTGTATTTCAACAGACACACCTTGATCTTTGTCCTACCCATCCTGAGATGAGAACTTTTCTCAAATCCACCCATACCATAAAGTTCATTTCAAGTATAGCATTGATTTTGACAACAGTGGAAGGGTAGTGATTTTTTTCTTTCCTTACATTATCAAGTACAAACGTTCAACAAGTAATCCATTCTTTTTCAATCATTTTCTACTTAATGGAGAGCAGCATTTCCTTGGAAATATTTATGTGCACCCCTCAAAAAAAGCATGTTAGTTCTGAAAACACAGTAATTGTTTACTCTTCAAAATACTCATGGAGGGAAATGATACTCCTTTTAAACTCTGTATTTTGGAGCTAATTACAACAAAGTGGAGCACAGCACTGAAATCCTAAAATAACTGCGGAATTAGCTCCAAACCTGGTAAGACTCCACCTGAGCTACCTAATCAGTATTTCCACATGGAGTCACAAAGAACTGCATAGATATATTAAAGCTGACAGAGAGAGGGAAATATTAGCTCCGAAATACAGAGTTTAAAAGGAGTATCTACAACAAGGTGGAGCACAGCACTGAAATCCTAAAATAACTGCGGAATTAGCTCCAAACCTGGTAAGACTCCACCTGAGCTACCTAATCAGTATTTCCACATGGAGTCACAAAGAACTGCATAGATATATTAAAGCTGACAGAGATCTCTGCATTGCAACTCACTACATGACACTGACACACTCAAAGCAGTTTGCCAAGAATCACAAAGTATGGTGAAGAGTCAAGCTAAGAGTGATACATTTTAAAGACTCAGAGTTTCAAGAAAATCTCAAGTTCTGCCAGCTACACCCAGATTAACTGGATAAGAACTCTATTAGCCAACCCCAAAGAGGGAGTGTTCCCCTCACACAACACCAAGGAGTTTGAACCTTGTTTTTCCCCATCAAACAGGTTAATCAGAAGTCATAACCAGAAAATGCCCAGCTCAGATGACATCCTCTCTTAGAAACAATCAGAGCTAGAAAAAAAGAACACGTTACATAAGAAGCATAAACTCTAGAACTGTTTTCTCCTTAATCCATGCTCTACAACAATTGGTTAGTATCAGACACAAAGCCTTGGTCTGTAGCAACACTAAATGCAACATGGTAAGCAAGAGTTACACAGGCCGTGACACCACCTGAATGATGTATTAGATACACCACCTACATGGTTCTGGACTCCCTACACCCTAACCTCACACAGCAGCACAAGCCCAAGGGTTAGTTCACTAATACTCCCACCATTCTTGGTATACTTTTGGCCAGGAGTGATATCCTGCCCTCAGCTACTAACAGAGATGAAGAAAGTATGCCTGTGAATGTGCATATAGATCTGTGCACATATGCCAGAAGCAAAGAAGATCTGGTGCAAGGATAAGACCGCTTGCTTGTGATCAATTTGGATTATAAACTAAGGGAAAAAGAGGGGAAAACAAGTGTTGACAAAAATATCATACACCTTGAAGTAATCTTTTGCCATATATGAAATGCATCCAGCTCATTCAGCAAGTCTGAATGGTTGCTCTTCTCCTGGTGAAGGCAAATCATTTGAGCCCAGGTGATTCCTAAGTGTTGTGAGACTGCACAGCTGCATACAAACCAAATTCTGCTGCTGGATGCAAAGTAAAGACATGCTGTACCAAGAATCTGGAAAATAAAATTTACTAAAGAAAACTTCCTGATTGATACAGGTAAAGTGCCACGCTTGGTGCCTTAACTGCAGTACCAGCCTGTAGTAGCCTGTCATGCAATGACAGCAGGACATGTGCTGATAAAGCCTAAACTGCAAACCACAAAAAAAAATCTCCAAACTCTTCATCTGACTCCTCTGGAATAACACTCCCTTAAATAATGAAGGGCTAAAGACCAAGAGAATTCAGAGTCATAAATCCTGCTATTAACTCATTTTACAGAATGTCTCCAAGGTTTTCCAATGTCCTCACAAATACATTTAAGTCAAGAACCTGCATTAAAAAAAGACAACAAATAATTTGCATAAGGGCTTTTTCAGTATTGATGTAAATTCCAACATGAAGAAAAATGTATACCACATAAGGGAACAAAAGATTAGCAGTTATCTAGGATTCAGGTAGATCCCCTGGTTTATGGGGAAAGTTCAAATCTGACACTAAACCATATCAGTGTTTTATTATTTGTGGCTCCTACAGAAATTTAAGCCACAGAAAAATGTATCCTGTGCAGGTTGCTAAGTGAAACTTCAAACAGCCCAGCAAATTAGGCTGGAGAAGAAATTCTGTCTTCTGAGAAGAAAGGCAAAGCCCCTAAGCACCAAAGCTTCATTATAAAATGAAACAAAAGCAGCTAATTAAAATCTCTCAAATATTCACATAGAATCACTTCTGTAGCGGGTAACAAATGCCTAAAAGAGCAAAGTGTCTAAGAGGATTTATGAACCTGCTAGAAAATACAACTCTCAGGGATTTCAAAAGGTCAAACTTCTTTTTTTTTTTCCTCTTTAAAGGACCACTGAACAGGACATTCTGACACAAGTCCATCACCAAGCTGACCTGAAAATATCTTCAGAGATAAAAATTCCACAGCCTCCTCAGCAAATCTTAACCCGAGTTTCCTTGCTGCCATTAGAGAGTTTTTCTGAATACTTTACCTGAAGTCTCCTACAGCCACAGAAACCTTACTCCCTGTCCTAGCCACCAAGATCATAAAAAAACCAACTTTCCTTGCACAGCCATCCTTTACATATTCTCCTAATGTAAAGTCTCTCCATCAACAGTTTCCTAGACAAAAATTGACTCTTTCAGAACCTGGTGCCTTTCCTGGAGCCCTCCTCTAAGCTCCAAATTTCCCACAATTTTTAAACCTGAACAAAGTTTTCCAAAGTTTTTATATGGGAATAATGCAAACCCAGTCTGAATACCAGAAGAACACCTATTTAGAAAACAGATTAGTCTGCAAGATACAGGTTGCCACAATTTACCTTATGTGTAATGTTAACCTACCTATTCCTGAATTTGCTCCCGTGATTATAACCACTTTCCCACTCAAGTCACGACCCTGGAGTATTTCCATTGCAGTGCTATTTCCATCATATTTTTGCCTAGTAGTGGGTTTTACTGGGTTATCTTCTACTGTAAAGGCCAGTCGTGGGTCAAGGTAGGTAGTCCTCTTGTTTATGTGGCTGCAAAAGAACACAAAAATTCAACTGCTTGGACCCTTCAGTACTCTGTATTTAGATGTACTTTCTTCTCAAGCAACTGGAAGCAAACAGCTTCACACCAGCTCAGCAAATGGCACAATTTGGGTCAGACTCACTTTTCTAAAACCAAGTTTTAGTTTCAGACCATTATCAGAAAGAGACACTAAGGAACAATTTTCAGTCTTCAGTCCTTAACTATAAGATAGAGAAGCTACATTATTATTTTGGCCTGTGAACATTCTCCATTCTACCAAGTCACTTTAAGCTAACCACCCCATTTTGACTCTGCCATTGAAAAGACACAAAAAGGAAATGTTCCTACAAATCTATTTCCACTTCTGTGAACTTCCTCCTCCCTTACCTTTCTAAAAATCTTTGCTAGCTCAATCCCTGTCCTCTCTTCTTTCTGTGCTTTACATGGCAAGTGAGTCAGAGCTGCAGCAACTTATTTATCTAGTGTGTTCAAAGCACTACTGCAGTGTTAACAATCAGCCATGAAGTTCTGGATATGTTTTTAAAGCTACACATACAGACTTTATCTATGAAGATACACAAACAAAATGAGCCTATATAAACACTGCCTGAGGGTCAGCTCACTGTGAGACATGAATATGCAAGTTACAACAGTCTGCCACCCAAGCTAGTGTTTCTGTGCCCAAGGAGGAGTTCAGAAAATCAAAAGTGCTTGTTTAGACACCGCTACAACTGCAATATCTGCATATGGATTCTGAAGTTGTACTTATGGTCCTTCCAGCTGATATTGTCACAGTATCCAACTCAAAGAGACTACCCAGCATGGAACACAGTTGTCCTACTTGTCCATATTCTACATTTTGACATACTTACTCTACGAAATAGACTTGTCCGTTTTCATCCGTCTCCTGCTCCCAACCATACGGCAGATCTAGGAAACACATGAGACATTATCTTTTTTTCATGCATTAGAGTCTCCTCAGACTGGAAGCTGAAGAGATTTCTCAGACAGACGTGTTAAAATTCTGTAATAGTCCCATAGATAATGCAGCTATCTGCTGCACTTGAATATTGGAACTTGAAAGAAGGATTGCTTCCCCAATCACATGCAGTTGGTCTCCAATAAAAGTACAATATACAAAAAATCTAGTGTAACTGTAATGACTAGTACATAAAGATAATCCTATAAAGGTTTGTTCAGGTTATTTCATGTTATAGTACAAATCAGCAAACTGCAACCATGCTTCCTAGCACACACACATCTACACTGAGCAGTTTAGTCTCTCTCCCTGATAAAGCAGATAGCAAAACCACTGAACTCAATGTAGGAAAAGTTACATGCAACACACAGTAAGAGCTGGAAGAGCAGAACCCTCAAGTGGGTACAAGACACACTAAATTTGAACTAAATGATTTTATGATTCTATGAATTTGGAAGGACAGATAAAAGAATTAATATAATCCAACTATAAATATAATCTGTAGGACACCAAGCTATCAGAACCCAATCACAGAATTCCAGCCTTGGACTATAGGCTTTACAAGCCACAGGAAAACAATTCCTTTATCCTGGAATTAGTGTTTTTGCTTTATGGAGCAATACAACAAAGCCATAAAACTGCAACTGTCTCTGCACAGACACAACCACATAGGTAAAACCCCACTGAAATCAGCTCTATTTTGCAATCTCAGTTTGCCTAGGTGATCAGTGTCAACTAGAAAACCAAAATGAAATCTAGTTCCTGCACAAACTCCAGCTAATATTTGTAACATAATTTCAGTTAATTACAAAAGCTTAACACAAACCTCCTGCCACACGTTTCCTCTTCCCAGACTTCGGATGTTCCCACTGTGTTTTTTCTTCCAGGTGGCTGCAGGCAAAGTTGAAGATATTTAAAAACTGCCTAATAATGTTTCTGATGTAATCCAATTTTTTTTTTTCATACAGTAAACACAGTTCAACTATTTTTTTTAAAATACAGTTCAGAAAATGGCTTTTCTTCCACAAAAAAAGAAACATGTCAATCCATTGTTTAAGAAAGGTCAAAACTGCTGTTAGAAGTTACCAGGTTTCCATACTGCCACAGTTCTGAAGGAAGATCAACTAATTAGAAAGCACAGGAGTCTATTAAAAACAAAAACAAAAACAAACGTTTGACTTCCAACCAAAGTTCTGTTGCTTACAATGAGAAGAAAGAAAATCCAAAAGTGATTAAAGAATAATATTAACACACTCAGAAAATGTCTCAAAAAGATAGTGCCTCTTGGCATGAAAAAAGGAAGAAAGAAGCAAGACAATTTATCAGAAACTAGTAGAAATAATATTAATTAGAAAGTACAGGAGTCTATTAAAAAAAAAAAAAAATCAAACGTTTGACTTCCAACCAAAGTTTTGTTGCTTACAATGAGAAGAAAAAATCCAAAAGTGATTAAAGAATAATATTAACACACTCAGAAAATGTCTCAAAAAGATAGTGCCTCTTGGCATGAAAAAAGGAAGAAAGAAGCAAGACAATTTATCAGAAACTAGTAGAAATAATATTAGAAAGCCTAGAAATGGCAAAAACACCTTTCTAAAACTCTTGTCTGATAGGACTGACTTGCAAGCTATAGGGTAAGCATGTCTGGATTTCCACACAACCAACTGCAGCTTTTTACAGCTAAGTTTATACAAAGGCCTTGAGCAGCTGATTATTTAATATAGCTGATAATGGTATTACATCCCTTCTCCTAATTCAGAGATCTGACTCACTTAAATCACTCTAACAGAACTAACATACTCTATATCATGACATTTTCTGTACTACAGGCTAATAAGCAAAATGATGTGCACACAAACAAGGCCTTGAGACACCCAGAGTACTGAAATCAGTGTGGGTATTATAAACTTATCTTTCATTAAGTATTATAAAGAGTCAGGCAGGGATTACTTGAAAGTGTCCAAACTTACAGCTGCCCAAGTACAAAACAACAACCAGCAGCATTACTGAATAACACACAAATCATCACTAAACTACAGATCTAGTACTAACAACCTTCTACACACAACATAAGCAACTCTTCCTTCTTATACTGATCCTGTGTCAGCACACTGCAATACAAGAATCACACTTCATGGCCTCAGACTGAGCAAGTCCATCTGTGTGACCTGCAGCAGCAGCTGAACTTCAGCACAATCAAACACTAGAGGTACAAGCTCCTGAGTCACTCCTCCCTGATAGAAGATAAGGAATTACCACAGCTTGACAAACAAATGCATGCCCCCTGGGCTTCAGTTGCAGGCTGTGCCCATATCGGACTCATCGAAAAGAACTTGGGAAGTCTTCAAGCAAATTTACCCCTGTTCCATCTAAGTTTAAAGTTCATATTGTTGATGAGGTTTAAAAACAGATCTCCAGAAGATGCAGAAGTATCTCAGATGTAGAGCTTATGTTAAAGGTAGTGACAGTGTAACACTTCTGCATGTCAAGTATTTTTTAGGCACACTGGTCAAGATTTTCGGCCAATAAAGATATAGTAATGTCATGTCATTAAATTGAAATAATTACATTGAATTTTCAAAACAGTTAAAAACAGACCTATTGAACTATAGGTTTATGTAAAAGTTATGCTGAGTAATTTTTATTTATTTTAATAAATATATTTTTTCCTTTTATTAAATCTCATTATTTTGTTGGTTTGCTGCTTTCCCCGAGCGATTCCTTTTGAATGAGCTTTTGAAGTAGAAAGAAATATACAAAAGCTTGACCAAAGAAAAACAAACATCTGGAGAGTTTGCAAACCAAGTGTGACAAACGAAAACATTCTGCCCAGTGTTTGCAAAGCCAACTCACCACAGGTGAGACTGCAATATATTTTTCCCCCTTTTTGTGGAAGGGCATAACTCTTGCCACTTTAAACAGACTGAAACAGATTCCAAGACCAGCACGGCTACAGAAACCACAAAAAAGGAGGAAATATAGAAATAAACAATGCACTAAGTGAGCTCGCGCTGTAGCACGGCCCCTTTGTAACCGATGAGGCTCTAATCACTTCCAGAAGGGCATCAGCAGATGATGCCAAATGCAAATTTCTCTCTCTCGTGAGAGCCCAGCCCACACGC